GCGATTTCTAAAATAAGAAAAAGGTGGAAGATGTGGATACACGGATCTTACACGTAACCGACCGATATGATACCATTATTGGTAAAGTATGTCATTATCGTTGTCACTTGACACAATATACCTAATTTAATATTATTCTTAAGACTTGTAAGCACAGTTCTTAAGACCACATTCTATACTTCCAAAAACACTAAGTGGCAAAATTCTTAATCATAGATTGTGAACCGAGCGATGAATGTGTTGGTTTTATAATGATTGTGTTTTTAAAAATTTACTTTTTGTTCTATTATTATCACTTATTTTAACAGTAAAAATGCGTAGAATGTCAACCTTGAGAGTGACTACTAAATAACATTAACTTATTACTAGAAAATTGCATCTAGTCATAAAACTTTGTACGATATTACGAGTACTTTTAAGCTAAAAGCATTCCATTATTTCTTTAATATAGGTACAAGATATAACTTAAAAAATATTAAAAGCTATTTATAGACATTTGAAATTTGAAATTTTTAGTTTTTTATAAATAATGATAAAGAATTGGATTCCATAAAAGTTTGACAATTTAATAAAATATCATGTGTAACGAGAAATCGTTACTCTCTCTATACATATCGTCGCGCTACACTCCGTCAAGAGAGCGCGCCTAGAGTATGTAAACGTGCCGTGGTCATTGACATGTCGCGCTAAACTCCGCCAAGAGAGCGCGCCACTAGCGAACAGCGCATTGAACACGTTACGGTCACGAGTGATTTCAATCATTAAAATGACTGTAATCACTTAAATACTAATTAATAAAGTTTAAGAGTGTCTCCGGTTCATGTTGGAATCATCGACTGAACTTCAGGAGATCATCTACATCTATATAACTGTCAATGCACAAAAGCTCAATACACTGCTGAGACGAGTGTTAATATCGTTAAATACGACCCGACACTCACTGTCCAAATCACCTCTTCCCGACTGTTGAGTCGAAAGCCACAACGAGTCTGATTACCGCTGTCTTGGAATACCGAAAACGGTATTAACGCCTTGACAAGTAATCGACCGTTTATGGTGACTAAACTCAACGTCGAGTTCCAACAGCCGACGCCGAATCACGGACCAACCGCCGCCGTCAACAACGAGCCATAGTCGCCGCCTGTCATCGCCAACAGGAAGCTCTCCTACTGGGACTTACGAAAGAGCCATAGCCGCCGCCCGTCATCGCCGTCCAGGAAGCTCTCTTATCGGGATTTACGAACGAGCCATAGCCGCCGCCCATCATCGCCAACAGGTCGACATCGTCCACGAAGAAGACACCGATCAACCAACAACAAAGTAGAACCGTGAGTGTAAACCACTGTTCCCCTAAATTATATGCTGTGTTGTGTATTTGGAATCCTGTACTCCAGGGTTAACGCCTGTACATTAACCAGTAGAACCGTGAGTGTAAACCACTGTTCCCCTAACTTATATTCTGTGTTGTGTATTTGGAATCCTGTACTCCAGGGTTAACGCCTGTACACTAACACATTAAACCTTTGTGAACTGTTAATATTATTATTATAGCTCGAAGAGCATTATTCTGTATATAAAAGAAAATAATGTAAACTACATAATACTATATGTTTTCTAAAATAAAGTACATTTATTACATATAACCATAAAATGAGTTGTAATTGTAATAATCGTTACACATGTATCAATTGTTTCCAAAAAAAATTTAAAATATCTTAAATATGTATGCTGATTTTTTTTCGTAAAAGAATTTTATTTAAAAAATAATAAGTAGACAATATTAGTCAAAATCATCGAAATTTGCAAGTTAAAATTTATAAAATTTACAATTTTAATAAATAAGAATCGACAATATGATACAAGGTTTGTCATACATTTTTTTTACTGAAACATTAAAATATCAAAACTACATCTGCACAATTTATGTATAACGATATATTTTCAAGATCAAAATTTGACGAAATATCGATTTGTTGTAATTTTAAAATTATTTTCTCTAGGTCATGAACTTTTTGCGTATATTAATATTTATTGACACAGTTACATTTTTAAAATAATATGTAGATTAATAAATTATATCACACATCTATTCACAGTCGGTCTACGGTACATCGGTAAGACTTATAACTTAATAACAGCTTTTTGTAGTGGTATTTGAAATCATATTATACTCAATATTGTGTGATTTATATTTGGCGAAAATCTGTTCAACCGGATATATGACTCATAGAAAAATAAATAACTAATAGCAAGGTCATAATAAATATATAATAACACATCCGAACTAATATTGGCTGATTTACCGTTTCTGCCCGAAATCGTCATTCATAATATTATGCAACTTTTGATTTTAAATTGATAAATTAAATACATTCATTACAGGACCTGGCCAATGGTGGGATACGCTAGATTCTTATTTTACTGCAAAGCGAATTCTAAAATTTTTTTCAAGTATAATTTTACAGTCCACAACACATGAATGGTATGAGGAATGGTTAGCTATTTTAAGGAGGTGAAGAGACACGATAGTTACCACTCAATAGATGTTATGCGAAAGAACCGATAATTCGATCGGAATATCGTTTTTCCAGGCCATTTAAGTCACCAATCAGAATCTTTCACATCGCAGTAACGCAGAATAACATTGTCACAAACCTAATACATATTTTTATTAATTTAACATCATCAAAATACGGCACGATTTTCGATTTCATTTTATTTTACCAATTTACCGGGGGTGTTTGGTGTTTCCTATTTTCCTATATTTTTTGGATTCCAAATCTTGATTTTAATACTCGCGTACTCACTAAGTTTGCTCGTTTCAGTTAACCGATCGAATTATTTTCCTGGAACCGTTGTAAATTGTTCTTCCATGTGTGATACACAATTCATAATAATTATGGTTTTATACCCGGTGTATATTTTCATCACAGTCGTTAGAGGGGAAAAACATTACGAGAAATAAATACACAAACAGACATTACCGCAGCTTTAAAACGTTCGCTGTATGAATTTACCGACTATTATGGACGCAATTTTCGTTTAATGTTTCCGACGTTATTGCCATCTAGTCAAATAAACGCTGTATATTCCAATTAAACCGATACTGACCTTCAATACGGAACACATAAATCACAATAATCCATGGATGGTTTTGTGGTAATTTTAATCCCAAAATGTGCAGTTTTAAAAATACGACGACGATATTATATCACGGGCTTCTGCATACTTAGGCATACATACATACATTATAGATAAACACGATGTAATAATATTATTAGACAATGTTGTTGTTATTATTATTATTACATTAAAATACTTACCTATACTGTTTGAATACATGTCTCAAGATTATTTTGGTCATTTCACTTAAGTCACACGATAAATAATAAATAAATATTTTAAATGATAATACACATTATTATGCAAAAATAAAATAAAACGATATGTAAGTCTGAAATTCAATATGACTCATGCATTGGAGGTTATTTTGTTTATAGCCGTATATAATAATATAGGCAACCGGAAAATGTTTATGCCAGTTTAGAAATCCTGGATAAAGTATGAGAAAAATATGTTTGTATACATGCTTAGGTAATAAGTATAGTACATAGTGTTCGTTTAGTACCCACGATTAGTTTAAACTTTACACATTTCGATGATCACATTGTTTTATATTATTTTGTTCATAATCAATTATTAAACTCCTGTCGGAAGTTATTAAAGTGATATTTAGTGACAACGGGTAAAAGCATTAATTACTTGGTAATGGATTATTTGTTATGGACAATATTAGCCCCGGCTCGAAGGTGGTCTGAGCTGTGCTGTGGCACTGAGCTCTGATAATTGGAATGTTGCAAATCTGGTGCTGTGTGAACATTTTGCAAATTGTACATAATATAATAATTGACTTCAAAATTAAGTATACACACGGTAGCTAACATAAAAATAAGGACAAAAAAAAAATGATATTCCCCCGAAAAAAAAAACCAAGGCCTGTGATTGGGGTGAATCAAAAGGTCAACTAAAAATATTGTTACTATAAAATGTATTTGACAGGCAATATTTTATTGTTAACTATGATGTATGTCTTAATAGTTAATACAACCAGTTACGAGTATTACTGTCGTTACTAAAGTATCCAAGAAAAATGTTTAAAGAATGTAATATTAAGTTTATAATAATAAACACATTAGGATCTGTCGTGGCGTTGTGGTTGATCACAGCCACCGATGCGTGCTGCGATCAAGTATCATCCGGCGTCGCTAACTACTGGATGGGTCACCACACGCCACTCGGTTTTTTAGCGACGAATCCACGTCCCATATACACACTAGTTTCTCTACCGACCTTAACCCTCACCGTCACAAAATTCTACTAGTAGGCAGGCAAAAACTACTGTCTATACCAGACTCTGTCATATTATTATACTTATTTGCAATAAGCAAAACGTACCAACTGGATTTCGTATTAACCTCATGCTTATGTAGGCACAACTGTCTGTCGAAGAATGAGTAAATATTTTTAACAATTTAAGTAAACTATATTATGTTTACAAGTATAATACATGTTTTTTTTAATGAACAACTTTTATTTTAATTTTTTGAAACTTCCAAAGTAAGAATTATTTAGTTAGAAAAACTTCATGACAAAAGACTCAACTGAGTGAAAAAAAAATCCTTGACCAACTATTGGTCGTTGGTAAATAATAATATGGTTGAAATATAAAATGATAGATGTTTGAACAAAATTTAAGGTTTTACATTGATACAGAAGCAGTATAATATTATAAACAGCCTAATTATTATTTTGACAATTAACTAAAAAACTCTTTTTAGGATGCATGTGCAAAAAAAAATCGTCTCGTTGATCATGCTAATCACAATAATTACATGGTGAACATAATACATAATGTAATAATTGATTTCGAAATTAAGTATACACATGGTGGATAATATGAAAGGATATTTAAAATTATAGTTCATTGCGTTGTCGACTACATTGTTCTGCTAGAATAAATACACTTAACTGCCTTCAGTTGCTAATATCTTTCAACTGACAGAACACCGAAGCAAACCGAGTTGTCTCTGTGAATTAAAATGGAACATTTACGTAGCACAAACGTTGTGTTTGCTATTGTAATGGCATTGTTGGTAGTACAGTCATCTGTAAGTGTAATAGGTTATCATTTAGTTTTCCACTGTTAAACAATAATATAATTTACATGGTTTAAATTTGTCAGACACGACCACAACCAGATGAATTGGAGGAAATAAAAAAGACACTGTACAATGCATGTGCTGGAAAGTTTCCAATTACGGAAGGTAATGATTCTGCGAAAGTTGGAAGTTGAATAATAGATAATAAATTGCATGTTCCTAAATTTGTTTTTAGAAATGAAGAAAGATATTCTAAATTCAAATATGGTAGATGATCAAAATTTTAAAGTGAGTGATTTAAATCATTATATTATCCTTCTTACAATAAAATAAAATATACCATTAGAAACATCACATTTTTTTTATAATTCAATCAGATAATACGATCACAATGAAACGATTTAATAATATGCTTAACGTGTTATAAGATACTTTTTATTTGTTAACATCATTATAATCATAAAATAAAAGTAGCAAAACTTTCAATTGTAGATTAGATACCGTAGATTATATTGTATTTCAGTTCAACATAATATAACAGATTAAGATACCAAAACCAAACACATACCAAAATAATATAAATATTTTATATTTCATATTATAAGTCATTTTTACTTTAATAAAACTGTTTAACATTAAAATACTAAACAGTTATTTTTCTATGCCTATAAAATAAAATATGCATACTTTGCTTATTTGAAATACAAAAAAATTAGTTTTGTTTTAATTTAATTATTATTAATATTATTACTATGAGGTATTCTTAATGAGTTATTATAAATCATACATTAATTCTCAACGTTTAATTCGTTTACTGTTTAGTTTAATTTGAATAGTAATTGTTAGTCCTTCTCAAATGTCCCTAAAATAAGGCATGAATCATTTGCCCCGTTTGTAACACTAATATTGGTAAATATATATATTTTTTAAATTTACGAATAATTAACAGTTATTAATGATGTAGTTTTCCTAAAAATATATTTTAAATTGTTTAAAGGTATTATGTAACCAGGTATTCTGGGATTTGACTAGGGACGAACAATATAGGTATATAATATTTATTGTTTTCGAAAACTCGTGAACATTCTGAGCACTTCTATACATTTAACTCTATTCATTTTCTGCGAATTTAATGTGCAAAAACTAAATTTTGAATGTGTAGTCATACAGTCATACAATAGTATTAAAAGTTGAGCATAGAGTGGAGCTTGTCACTGGCGTCCTATATAGCGTTCACCTAATAATCGGCTCATCATGGCATTAAATATTTGTAAGTTGTATTATAATATAAAGCTAATTAACTACCCACTCGAAATTCAATTTATACAAACGAAAATATATTGTATTGGAGAGTGACTATACAAACCAGAAATGTTGCTCTGCAGTATAGTAGTGTACCTCGGCATTAAGTTGTACAACACTGTGATGGATGTGTTTCATACTTTGAATTCAACGATAAGTCTTTAAATACGATAAAATATTATGATTCTGATCGTAGACAGTATAGCCAGCCAATAATTCTATGAATATTTTGTATCATAGATTTAAATAGATTGATATTATAAAATTATTTTCCTTTGAGAAATATGCCCTAGGTTGAACTCATTTTTGTCAATAACTAATTACAAATATCATCACACATAAAAAAAAAATATTATTATTTACGAACCAATGAGTTCGGGGTTTAAATAAGCAACTTATAGTTATGTCATGTTTTAAATCTATTAATGAACATATTATTTTTTTAGTGTTTTTTAAGGTGTTGCTTTGACGAGATGTCAATGGTAAGGATACTATTCAAAGTTTTAAATATCATGGAGTTGGAAAATTAATAAAATAATTTCTTTAAATTTATTAGATTGATGAAGATGGTATTATCGACGGGGAATCATTGATATCAATGGCTACAGACAATCTTAAGCCAGTCATTCAGCAAGTCGTTCAGAGTTGTGTAAAAGGTGATATTTTTCATGTTACTAATTAATTTAAATTTTAAATTTTAAATTTTTTACGTTCATACCTACTCACTGTGCTTCAAATTAGATTAACCTCGGAAAGCCACAGATTTTCCTCCGGTTCGGTCACATACCACACCCCTTGATTTAATCGGCTTTCGTCGACTTTTGTCGTCAACTTTCGATTCATGGTCTAACAATTTTTTCCTTCTGAACACATCTTAGCCAAATCCAAGCCAAGTAGTTGTTGGAATAATAAAGTGACGCTACCGAAAGCACAACCCTTGGCACACTTTAGCCATGCATCCAAAAGCGCACTGCCTGAGGTTATTCTTATATGAGACAGAGTTTATAGCTCTTTTACTGCCCACAAATATAAAGACATTTTTTTTTTATTTAACTGGTAAAAAATATAATTATTCAATAAGTATACTGTATAAATATAAAATTGGTTCCTACAATAATGAGATAGTTTGGAGAGAAACCACTATAATTATTACTTTTTTTAAGTTCAAATAAAATAAATTTATTTTCCTATGTATTCAGATATTAAGCAAGATGGTTGTGAAGCTGCATTCAACTTTATTAGCTGTGGATTGAAATTAAATCCAATGACTGTAAGTCACAACACATATATGCAAAAATAAACATTCATATATTGAGTATAATTTGATCAAATTATATCATATAAACGCTAAATTTTTTTTAAGATTATTTTAATCTTGTCGTGTGTTTTATATAATATAATAGTCTCATTTAGTCTCATTTAAATACAGGTACAATTTCATAAAATCGAAATTTAATTTTGTTTACAGATTCAACTGTTGCCATTGTGATTGAGAACGATACAGTTTTGATTCCATCCACTCATAAATCAATGGATAAACATAGTAAAACCGTCATTATACAAAACATTGTTGATACGTTCCTAGTACGAATTACTTGTCTCTAATGTTTTACTATTCAATCATATAAATTAGATTGATAGTAATTTTGCACTCTTAATAAATAAACGGTTTTGGCATTCAATATTGTATTTATTTACCTAATAAACAATAGCAATATCGTAATATTACTATTTTAAATTAATTAAATAATTATGCATTATAGTAATTATATTTAAACAGATCTACAACAGGGATGAAGATCTTAGATTTTAGGATCTGGGTGAAATTTTTCAAATTTTAGACGAAATCATATCGAATCCGTTGGACAGTTATCTCGTAATTTAAATAATAAGGTGTATTACGAAAGCTAAAATTATTTTAACCATCAAGTTGCGCATCACTAAAAAGCTTCAAATGTGTATAAAACTATGGTGACAACAATACGTATTTTAAATATTTTTGAATTAGTGTCGGAGCAACTTTATTTACCTTGTAATAAATTAATTAGAATTTTGACCTAAAAACATTAATTTTATCAGCATAAACCAACATTTAATAATAATAAAATACAACAATATTTCAAACTTCAACAAATATGTAATAAAGGATCCAAATAATATTATGTTTGAAATTATAAAATGTATACAGATGTGAATATTTTATCACGATTTCAACTCTCACTGTGGACTCACATCATTCTTTCATGAATTATAACAATACAACTGAACTAGTTATGTCAACTAGTTCTGTCAATTTACCAGTTTTTCTGAGGTATTATGATTTTTTTTTTCAAAAATTAAAACTAAATACAATTTGCTACCAGAAACCACCACCAAAGTTGAATATGAATGATTTTTTGTATTCTCAAAAGTCAAAATCGTAATGACACGCGTTGTTGTAGAAACATATTACTCTGTTAGGATGGAATAGTGTTAAAAGCACGGTCGATTACGTGACCAGTGTCACACCAATACAATTAATTATTTAATGCATGAATGATGTACTTAAGTCATTTTTTTTACATAATATTAAATTGTTTTATAGCCAAATCAGTGCCTATTGAGCTCTTAATATAAAATCTAACCATTATTTGTATATCTATAAAAAGTTAGTATCAGAGATGCAAAACTTAAAAATAATTAAATGGTACTATTAACACGAATTTGGATAATTACATCGTTAATATAAACTAGTGGGTCCAATAAATATATCAAAAGTACTAATTAAGCTGATGGGCGAGGCAAATGAGCTATAATATTTCTGTGTCGGAAGATCATGGGAAATTGGTAATAATATTCATTACTATATAGCCTATGTCAATCGTTCATTATGACGTGTCATAATGACAAGTGTATAATTCATCTTTATGAAATCAATCAATTCATGACATATTTCTTTAGTTTGATGTCGTCATCGTTTTCATAATACCGAGTAGATAAAACCATTGTTTTTTGTAGCTTAAAAAATTTAAATGTATCGTTTTCTATAGTATAAAAATACAGTTTAAGTTTAATCCTTAAGGGAATTTTACATCCGCATGTTGTCTCCGTCATCAATCAAACTTAAAGGTAAAGATACTGTTAACTGTTTTTTCACGATATTTTAATTTTTAAGCGAGTTATGAAAATTGTTAAATTTTAACATTTTACATACTCATTAGTCATTATGAACCTTGCTTGAATACTAAGCTATCGTAAAAAAACACATTTAAAAACATAGATAATAGATTTTTTGAATTGAAACGTTCAAATGTCCACAAAGATAGCATAATAAATTAAGCTAAGATACTTTAAAAATTATTTATTTTCTAAAAAATGCTTTTTTTAAATATTAGGTACTTGTTAATTTATTTCAAGTTTCGACGAGGGCTATTATTTAAAAAAAATGAAATAATAAAACTAATTTTCTTAAAAATTGATATTGAGTAAATTGTCTTGATTTTTTTAGGTTAGGTCATTAAAATTTTTTTCCCGATAATATTATTGCAAATTACTTAAATTGTCTCAAGTACATTCTAAATCAATTTTCTGTTATAATTTAATCCACACTTAAGTTTTGATGATAGGAGTAATTTTACTGCTCCAATATAATATAGTTGATGACAAACACAAAAACAACTCCATGGTAAAACTAATATGAATATACGTATAGTTCCACACAGTACATACATCAAATACAATAGGCTTCTATGACAGAAACTCATAGCTTGCGTTGTATATAATCTTAAAATACAAATAAGTTTAAACATGTATAGCACATGTTCTGCTAGAACCAGCGTCGGTACTAACAGAGTTAAGGAAATGTCCACAACATATTTTCTAAAAAATTACCATTCAGTAGAAAACTTATTTGAAAAAATGCAATTAATTGCTATGAAACAAATTAGAATAGAAAGAAAGAATATATTCAAATATATTATAATTATGTATTTTAACACATTTCTTACCCCTTAGGGTAATTAATATTTTGGAATGTGGCACGTTTCACTCATAAACTGTTAACTGGTTGTAAGGTAATAGTGGTAATTCATCTTTAGGTCATCAAGTTTAATAATTAGTAATAAGATTGAGGATATTAGTTCGATTATCGATTGTTATATGACAACATTTTGAATAACAAATTATCTTCTTCATATATTATACTAAAAAAGTGAGGTTTTCGTTAAAAATCTATATTTAAATTTACGTATGTTATTTACATTACGATGTATAAATATATAATTAAAATGTTTGTTTCTACATAGGATACACCTCAAACGGCATATAAAAATATTATAATCTTTATGTACTACCTACAATACTTATAAATTCTAGGAACGAAATTTAAATAATTGCATAATTAAAGGATATAATTGGGGCGATCATGCGCTTAGTTAAACACCCTGTATTCAACACACATATATTTTTGCCCTCGTCTATAATACCCTTGCACCAACAAAATGTATACTTCTCTATTCGCCTCCTGCCAGAACTTTAAAACTCACATAAGCTTTTGAATACATAATGGCAAGAAACAATTAAGATTTTGAAATATTTACATAAATTAGCTGTACAAATTAGGCACTTAAGTCAAATACAATATAAGAATCATGAAATATTTGTATTATGGGCTTAAGTATTATATAAATCAAACATATAGTAATAGTTATAAGAATAATGATGGCCCTCTAACGAACTAATAATTAAAAAAAAAAAAAATAACAATAATAAACAATGAATGTAAATCTGGGGAAACACGGATAGTCAATTTACGTACTATAATCTCAGAATAATGCATTGGTATAGTGCGATTCTCCAAGCATACTCAGACGTATTTTTTCCTCCAATGATTTATTCAAATTATGATTTTTGTTTTTTAAATTTCTTTTGTTTTAAAAACATTATTTTTTAAATACCTTTCGTTGTGTTAATCATAATATGAAGGTACTTATATAAATATTTGTACTTGTATGATATAGGTAATATAATATTATACTATGACTTTAATTTTGGATACATGTATGTCACCGGACTTATTGTACCTACTACATAAACGTTATTAGAATTAAAAACTAGGTTGGAGCAATATTTTTTTAATAATATGTATAACAACATTTATACAATATTAAGTATTTTGACAGAGACTAAACACAATAAATTTAGCAGTGACACAGTTAACTGGGTTGAGCTTTAATACATAAGATATACGATTGCAGGACAAAAGAGGGTACTTCGGCAATGATGCGGTCTCCGAGTGTGTTTCGTTTTATTAGTGTAAACGTCAATTATAGTAATCAGCGGTACATTTATAAGGAGTGTCCTGTTTCCAATCAAATTCCACTTTTTGGCGCCGTTTTTACTGTGGACTGTTTAGCAGATTATTTTTTTGTAATATTTCGATGCATCTTAATCGAAATGTGAAAGAGTAGGTTTTGACTTATTACACCTAGTGTATAATTGATGGTAATAAAGGTCATCCCTAAAATTGTTTTTAATTAAATGTAAATATAATATGTACTATTTAACCTTGTACTTCACAGTTAGTTATGACTTTTTATACTCAATTTTAAGGAATTACAAAAAAGTCTAAGTATATTGCATAATACTGATTAACCAATGTAAATATTTACAAATCCGCGTATCCCCCCTCCTCCCATATCATCATTATAATAATATAATATACAATTTGTATTGTTACATTAAGTTTAACTATTTACTGAATATTGAAATTTTAATCTAAGCGCATAGTACATAACCATGGTCATTTAATTGAGTATAAATTTGTTTTATTTAATTGCTCTAATTGAAATATTCATATACTAATTTTATATTTCTATAACATTATAATTAATTACAAATGAATTACCTACTATATCATTTATATCTCTACATTTGTTTCACTTTAATGATTTACTTTGGCAGCTGAAGAAAAATAATATTTTGTAACATATAAGTACCTAATCAATATAAACTCTGCAATACGAGAATAATTGGAAAATATAAAATTTATCTGTATCGATTTTTAAACTTCATACATTTTCTCCGAATTGCGTTACTTACTTTTGTCTAAGTACCTATAATATTAGCTTATTAATGAATATTGTTTATTGGACACACGTGGATTTAGTCGGGTCTAAGTCCGCTTAGTCGACCATTGCTAATCCTACAATTTTTTTTTACACAACTTTGGTAGATTACATGTCAGCAAGTGGTCAGTTAGATGCGATCTAACATATGCTCGTGAAGCTTTTAACATGATGAAAATGGTGTACTGAACTGAACAATCTGATAACGGACAATCCACTAGTAGAACGTCTTGAGTTTTAGTTTTTTTTTTACTTATCAGATCGTTTTCCATTCGTTAAGTACACACGGTTTCTTGCTTGTATGATGTTATAGTGTTATTAATAACCACATAAGTGTTGTTTGGTGATTATACAATAGATTTTCGTAGAATTATTGATCGGTTTGTCCGATGTAATAGAGTAATATATTATTATGATTAATATCATAATAAGATATGATATATCTTAATGTTACTTTGCCTGTAAGAACGTTGTTACAATATTATATAAAAGTTATATTTTCCTGGCACTTCTCTGTTTACCAATCGTATATCAATCTGATATTAATCTGAATATAATTTAAAAGCGAAATTGCCAAA